CTTTCGAAAACGTCGCTTTGCGATCACCCCAACCGGCAATGGTTGCTCGTTTCGTATGAAGTCTTCCGTGAAAGGGTTGAAAGGAAGTATTCGAAAGGATGACCATGGTACTGCTTGTCGTTAAACAATGGTATATTCCGAACGATTTACCCCAAACGTCGGGCGGACCAATTTGACGGGTAATTTCTGAAGAAAATCGTTCGGTCACCGTTCCAAAAGATTTCTCTCTTCTACTATATCGGTATAGATACCGTATACTACTCAACTAAAAGATCTATCGTAGTTCTTTCTTTCGATCTAGTTTTGAAGTTTTAAAGTTACGTCTAATTTTAGAGCGAATCAAATCGAACGTTATAACGTTCTACGTATCGAAGGAAGCGATAATCTTTTAATCCTTTAAAATAAAATAATATTCGATCGATCTTCTTCTTATTCTTCTTTTTCTTATTAACGCATTTTCTTTTTCTTTTTTTTATTTTCTTTTTCTTTTTCTTTTTCCCTCCTCATAGAACCCATAAAGTCATTTACCAAGTCTAAGGGTATTCTTTATCTCATAAAATAAAATAAGATTCGATCTTTTACCTCTTAACACATATTTCATCGGGTCCGGCCATTTACAAAGTCTCATTGTCAGATGATCATAAAAATCTGGGGAAAATAATCCTAAAGGATGGCCAGAATGATATAGAAAGAGAGAAAGCATGGTGTTTGCATATGAAAAGAGGCTCCCGCACTTTAAATCGATACACCTTTATTATATATACCATGGAAATATACTCGCGCTTATCTTCTTCGGTACTATCAGCCAACGTCCTTCTCTTTCTTTCTTTCTATCTTTTATTCTATCTTTCTTTCTTTTCTTTTCTTTTCTTTACATTTTTCCTTTTTCTTTTCTTTTTTCTTTTTTCTTTTTTCTTCCTCTTACTTACTTCCCCGAGGGAAGTCGGCAATATTTTCAACTTCCGGAAAAAGAAGGAACCTCCTGTCGAGGGGTAGAAAAAAGTAGAGGGGAAGGGCGCCTAACGCCTGCAGCGCCAAACAATATTCCAAATTTTCACGCTTGCCGTTTTACGACCTTCCTTTTCTCCCTGACTAGTTCCTTTTTCTTTTCTTTTCTTTTCTTTTTTTTTTCTTTTCTTCTTTTTTTTTTCTTCCTTCTTTTTCCTTCTTTTCCTTCATTATTTCCGTCATTCTGTCTTTCTCTTTCGCATTTATCTATGGTCCAATTTTCCTTTACTAATTTACGCCTACTACCAAAGCAATGATTATGAATGACTAGACGAAAAAATTCTTTCAATGAGCAGACCTGATATATATATATATATATATATATATATATATATATATATATAAGGTTCACGAAACAAAAGTTCCCTTTGTCCTTAGAAAAGAAAAACCACGAGGATTCTTTTATTCTACGAGTAAAAGTAAGCATACATTTATAAATTTGTATCGTATCGATAAAACGAATCTTTAACGTTATAATGATAATCGATTATTATACGATAATTAACGTCAATTTGTCCTATTCTTCGTAATAATATCTTTTAATCACGTACAATAACTAGAGATTACTTTGATCGATAAAATTTTATTAAAATGTTAATGATACATCGTAGCAGAGTAAAAAAAAAAAGAAAGAAAAAAGAAAAGAAAAAGAAAAAAAAGAATAAAAAAGAAAAGAAAAGAAAAGGAAAGGAAAGGAAAGGAAAAAAAGAAAAAGAAATATTCTACTCGCCCACCATTGGACTCGTTATTCCACTTGGCACCTTGTTATAATGCGACGATATGTGTTCCATTGTGTCTAACGTATTCATAAATCCTGTTTCCTGACGTATCCTCCGATAAAACAAAAGTTTCTCTCGTGACATCAATCTCTCTCTCTCTCTCTCTCTCTCTCTCTCTCTCTCTCCTTCCTTGTCTCATTCACAAAGCTACATTAACATTCGATTACATAAATAAATAAGTCAGAATGAAGTATGTAAGAGTTTTAATCGTCGATCCTTATATATATATATATATATGTACGTGTTTATGTGTTCAAATTGTGACGAGGCTTACGTCACTTTTCTTTTCTTTCCACTCCTTTTTCTTTTTTTTTAAAAAGATAAAAAATAAAATTTCGAAGAACAAGAACAAGAAGAAGAAGAAGAAGAAAAAATAGAGAGAGAGAGAGAGAGAGAGGGAGAGAGAATTGTACTTTAAGGTTAACGAGGGTGAATTTAAAGGAGATTAAAAGAACTCGTAAATCTCGATTCGCCAAATGTTCTGCTTTAAAACTCGCTCGACGATTTTCTTTTCTCTCTCTCTCTCTCTCTCTCTCTCTTTCTCTTTCTCTTTCTCTCTCTATCTTTTTCTCTCTTTTTCTTTCATTCAGTCCAGAACGGCCATTTAATTAGGGACCGCTTTATTTTCTTGCAAACCTCTTTGTCTCCTACACTGATTTTGTTTCTCCTTCGTTCGCCTAAACATCGTTACAGCGTATCCGTCGTGGAATGACGATAGTCTTGTGAACTTTTTAATCTCTTACGAACTACCCCAAGACCCTGTATATACTATCCACTTTCTTTTCCCATTTGTTTCTTCCGAAGGTCCACTTTTTTTCTTTCTCTTTTCCTTTCTATTCTTTTCTTTTCTTTCTTTCTTTCTTTCTTTTTTTTTCTCTCTTTTTTTTTTTTTTTTTTTTTTTTTTTTTTTATTGAGGAAACGTACACTGTATGTAAAAACGAAACATAGGTCGATCTTAACTTCCTTCATTTTATTTCTCTCTCTCTCTCTCTCTCTCTCTCTCTCTCTCTCTCTCTCTTTCTCTTTCTCTCTCTCTCCCTCTCTCTCTCTCTCTCCCCTTTTCTTTCTCTGTTTCTCGTTGAGAATGAAAGGAAAGGCAATCTCTCTTGCGAAAAAGTTCAGCTAAACTTTGTGGCTGGACCTTCAGATGAGTCTCGAGTTCTCAGTGAGAACTCGGGGAATACGTCGAATGCATTCTTCTCTTTTTCTTTCTCTCTCTCTCTCTCTCTCTCTCTCTTTTCTTTTTTTTTTATCTCTTGTCTACTTTAATTAAAATCAAACGATACGAACATTTTTGAGAAATTTGACTTTTGCATATATATATATATATATATATATATAAATATGAAATATTTTTTCTATAAAAATAAGTAACATAAGTATGATTGAAAGAAGAAAAATACAAAAAAAAACCGAAAGAATTTTATAAAATCACGGGTGAAAGATGAAGAAAAAGAAAAAGAGAAAAAAAAGGAGAAAGGAGGAAAAAAGAAAAAAGAAAGTATAAAGACGTATAAAGTTAGAAGGTTAGTGCAATAAATAATATCACCTTTGTCTCCATCCTGTAGCACTTTAAAACTTTGTTGAAAAATCATGATAAGTTAGATCGATCGTCTAAAACGACTCTCGATAAAATCTCCGATAAAAAAAGGAACAGAAAAAGAGAAAGAGAGAGAGAGAGAGAGAGAGAGAGAGAGAGAGAGAGAGAGAGAGAGACACGATAAGTGCTTTAACGTTGGCGTAAATTTAAGTAGACTTGCACGAACCCTCTTTGAACATAACATGTTACGATCGAGGCAAATATGTTTCCGCGGTTATGTTTCGCATTTGACGATGAGCTTTTTCTAGTAAAAGAAAAAAAAAAAAAGAAGAGAGAGGGTGAACAAATATACACACACACACACATACACACATATACGTATACACATACGCACATAAAGCAACAATAAAGACCACTATCCTCTCGTTTATTCATTTTTCTCTATCTTCTCTCTCACTCCCTCTTCTTTCGTCCGAGGGGTGACTTCGAATTAATAAAAAAAAAAAAAAAAAAAAAAAGAAAGAAAGAAAAAGAAAGAAAGAAAGAAAGAAAAAAAAAGAAAAAAGAGAAAGAGAATCACCCTTGGAAAAAATGTCCTGGAGGGAAAACTATTCTCGCTCGCGACTACTACTACTACTACTACTACTACTACTACTACTACTATTACTACTACTACTGCTACTGCTACTGCTACTACTGCTGTTACTACTAGGAGCTATGAAAAATGGGAGAAAATCTGATATTCCGGATTAAAAACATTGAAATTCAAAACCCGTCCCTCCCGCGCTGTCATAACGGAGGGTTGAGAAGTCGTTAAGGGTCAGTTTCAGCTGCTACGTTGAACGACTACCCTCAAACCACCTCCCTCGATCACTATCCACCGACCATCGTGTTCCAAGGGATATTATTTTTAAGCTCCCTGCAAGCGCTAGAACCCGCAATTTGACACAGGCGTGCGTGCCGTTTGAATTCAGAATTCAATCGGCACAAGCGGATTTTTCTATCCCGATTTTCTGAAATTAAGGGAGGATCGAGAATTGATATGCGCTACCTCATGTACCTACCTATATACGTATATAACCACGTTTTAATTTATATATATATATAAATTAAATATAATAATATAAATATAAAAAAAAAATATACATATATATATTTTTTGTTTCTCTCTAATTCGTTTGGTTAAATTTTTATCATTTTTATCAATTTTTATCATGTGTTGAAACTGATAGACTAAAAAAAGAAAAAAAAAGACTAGACCAAATTATTACTGCCATTTAAGTTTAAAAAAATCTATATTATAATAATCTATAACGATTTGTTACATTTGTAATTTATTTAGAAAAAAGAAAAAAGATACTATTCTATTATCATCATGGATGTAGATTTAGAAAAATTATAATATAAATTATAATATAAAATTACAATATAAGAAATGTATAATTTCGATCGTACGTGAGTTAAATGTTTATAACATAATATAATTCGTACGGATTTGAGTTAAAGAATTTTTTTGTAAGAAGAAAATGAAATGAAATAATTTTACGGATTGATCAGCGATGGAGGAGATTAAATTGTTAAAATAAGAAATATACATATATTGTCTATATTTTCTCCTTTCATTAGAAGAGAAAGATTTGACGAAACGTATGGATTTCTTTTTTATTTCCAGAACCAAGATGGCTGCAATGTTCGCAATGCTCAAGACGAGTATCGTCCGCGTGGGAGTTACTTCAGCACGCGCAAAGCGTCCACGGTGCACGTTTGTATAGTTCGTCCTCGCCGTCGACGAATTCGTCGTCGAATACACCAGCACCGAGTCCACCCACGCCCACGCCAACGCATGCGCATCACCTGAGTCCGCCAAATCACTTGAATTTGAGCGGCAAATCGACCGGAAGTTCATCCGCGGCGAACAGTTCAGCTGGAACGAACACAAGTGGTAGCAGCGGAAGTCGTCAACAGCTTCAAACGTCGGCCTCTTTAGTTGGTGATCCGCTACATAGTTTTCTAAGGCTACCGCAACATTTGGAGAGAAGTTTTCCACCGATGTTTAGGCCAGATTTTCTTGCGTTAAATCCTTTAGCTGGTTATAGAGGTCTCCAAGAGTTACAAACGGCAACGAGAAATCTACAAAACCTTGGTGACCCATTACGTGGTATGGACGGTTTAAATTTAGGTGACCCACTCGTCCGTAGCTCGTTAGATTCGTTAAACAACGCAAGAAATCTAGCGAATTTAGCCGAATTATCGCATGGCCGTGCATTGAGTGCACAGGCACACCCACCACCGTTAGAAGCCAACCTGGATTTTTACTCGGCGCGCCTAAGGAGCCTCGCTAATCCGTCCTTAGGCGCGGCTCCACCCAATAGCGGCAATTCAAACCCTAGCAACTCGAATCCAGCACCGCCTACTGTACAAAACGTTTTACCGGTACCTGGAAATCTTCAAACACAGCAGCAGCAGCAGCAGCAGCAGCAGCAGCAACAACAACAACAACAACAACAACAACAGCAACAACAACAACAATCTCAACAATCACAACAATCACAACAATCTCAACAAAGACCACCGTCACGTCCACAACCTGTAGAACCACCGAGTCCTGCTACCAACAATCCAGCCAATCTTACGCATAGTAATCATCAGAAAGAAAATTCGCCACCTTGTTACAGTCAAAGTCCTATTGGACATCACAATAATAATAATTCGACGGATAGCGAGAAAACTAGTCCGCCGGTAGCTTCAACTCCTATCATTGCCGATTCTGGCTCGGAGACAGTTTACGCTTGCGAGGTATGCGACAAGAAATTTCGATTCCAATCGAATTTGATCGTTCATCGGCGTAGTCATCGAGAAAAGGAGAGACAATATCAACAAGATAGTGGTATGCAGGATGGACAAACGGGTCAGCAGACTGCAAGGTGCGAAGTTTGCGAGTTGGAATTGTCTAACTTCGCTGAGTTGAGGAAACACATGAGGAAGGAGCATCAGGAGACGTTGAATATTGCCGCTAGTCCTCAAGGAAGCGTCGAGACGGTACCAGACGATGGTTCAAGTTGCGACGAAAATATGGATTTAGACGAAGTTGAGGATAACGATCAGAAGGCCGACAGAGAAGACACCGAAGAGAACACGCCGGAGGATTTGAGTACTACCCAGGGTCAGAGCGGGGAAGAGAGCGGTGGTAGAATCGATCAGAAACCTGACAGTTTAGTAGGCGATCTAATGGAAAAGTTTGGCTTGAGTAACATAGCGCAATATTCGGAAGCATATAGGCAAGCTCTTCAAGAAAATCATCGTGGTGGTTTTATAAAAACCGAATCATCATCGAATCTAACCAATTCCTTGAATAATAACAAGGAAAAGGATAGTGCATTGTCACCTACGAACTTTAATTCATCGACAACGCCTAATATATTTTCTGGACAAGGCTTTCCAAGATCGTCTGGTCCGGATTTCGGTGGTCTATGGTTACCAAGTCCTCATTATTTGGAAAACAACGAATTTCGAAAGGCCTCGAAGGCAACAACGTCCAGTCTTGCATTGCAAGGTCTGCCGAGTCCCTTATTGAAGAAAGAACGAAGTGGTAGAAACGATACCTGCGAATATTGTGGTAAAGTATTTAAAAATTGTTCGAATCTGACGGTTCACAGACGTTCGCATACCGGCGAGAAACCGTATAAGTGCGAGCTATGTTCCTACGCATGTGCACAAAGTTCTAAATTAACGAGGCACATGAAGACGCACGGTAGACACGGTAAAGACACATACAAGTGTCGTTTCTGTGAGATGCCATTTTCTGTACCTAGCACACTTGAGAAACACATGAGGAAGTGTGTGGTGGTAGTGCAACAGGGTCCTAAACTCGGTATGCCGTATCCCGGTAGTCAGGATGAGGATTCGTCTTTGAGCACCAAGGACACTTGATCCTGGAATGGTAGTTTACCGCCCATTCCGCCATTGTGGCCTCACAGGCCACCATACCCGGTCTACTGAAAGGGGGTGATTCTTCGTCAAGGTCAATCCGCATGGCCTTGAAAGTTTACCGGAACATACAGAAAGAGACAGAGAGAAAGACAGAGAGAGAGAGAGAGAGAGAGAGAGAGAGAGAGAGAGAGAGGGAGAAGAAGAGAAAGGAAGATAGGGAGATCCTCCTTGATAAGGTCCTGTCAAACGAGTCCATTTAAATCCTGTTACGTTCGTATGATTAAATCATCAACGAACGTATATTAAGATATATCACTTTTGGAGGTCGCCTCTTGGGATTAGGAGAGTGCGATCAATTCGACAAAAGGATCTACAACAGGATCTATAACAGGATCTACAAGTTCGGCTCTAGGAGCCTGGAAATGGCCCCCAAGATTACGACGAAGCCGAATGGAAATGAAGGGAGATGATTCTATTCGTGAACAGAGAAAAAGAAAGAGAGAGAGAGAGAGAGAAAGAGAGAAGAAAAGAAAAAGAAAGAAGAAGAAATATAGATTAATATTCCAATGAAGGGAGTGGAAAAAGGAAAAGGATACTCACGTACATTATAAATAGACTCGATAAGTTCGACGAATGATCTTTTCGATCGCAAATTAGTCGATAGGAGAATTCGAGTTAGTTTGGTCCAGGAGTGGATAGATAACGGGGTAAGGAGAGCTAAATCTCTTGTTTCTTCTTTTGATCTGTTAAAAAGAGAAGAGAAAACAAAACAACAACAACAACAACAACAACAACAACATAAAAATATATAAAACGAACGAATGGTTACCACTTTGCGAGTCTCACAGCACAGCTATTTAAATTATATCGCTATAAATACTTATAAATAACGACCCTATAAATATGCATATATACATACAAATGAATGAATAAATAAATAAATAAATAAATAAATGAATAAATGAATGAATGAATAAATAAATAAATAAATAAATATATATATATATATATAAAAATATATATATAAATCACACAACACTCATATATATATATATATATGTATATGTATATATATATATATATATATAAAATGAAAATATACAGAATATAAATATATACATACATACATAGGTTTATGAACATAGTGACTTTATTAACGTATTTGAAGATTATTTATTTAATAATATATGTATACATATTGTATAACGTAATATATTATATACATACATACGTTTATCACTTGGAAGATCGATCTAAAACCACCGTGTATGTAATAGCGAGGAAATAAAAAAAAAAAAGGTAGAGAGAGAGAGATAGAAGGAAGGAAAGAAAGAAAGAAAGAAAGAAAGAAAGAAGGAAAGAAAAGAAGAAATACGAAAAGAAATGGGGGATGTTTTGTACATTAGACGATCGTCTCTTTATACGCAAAAAAAGTGCGTAATTTTTTTAGAAAAAGGGAAAAAAAACAAACAAAAAGAGCGATTTGCTTTTTTCTTTTTCTTTTTTTTTTTTTTTTTTTTTTTTTTGAATTTTTCATTTCACGTTCTATATCCAAATTTTTCGTTTCCGTTTTATTCTTTTTGTTTTTTTTTTATTTGTTTCTTTTTTTTTTTTTTTTTTTTTTGGTTTTTGCATTTCACTCTCGTTAGGAAAAAAGAGGGGAGAAGAAAAAGAAAAGTAATAATAAACGAATGAACGAACAAACAAACAAATAAATAAATAAATAAATAAATAAATAAATAAATAATAATTTATTCGTCGACTTCTACGATCCTGTTTGTAAATATATAAACATCGACATTCAATGCCCTGTTAAGAATGAGAGAGAGGGAGAGAAAGAGAAAGAAAGAGAAAAGTAGAGAGAGAGAGAGAGAGAGAGAGAGAGAAAGATACTAGGAATAGTAATAAATAATAATACTGTGAGTACGTGATAATACATTAAAATACGGAGCAACACTCGAAGTATGTGCTACATTCTCTAGTTATTATTGTAAGCTTTAGCTCGATCCTACATAAAATGTATTATATATATATGTATCTATTATTAACGACTTTATTATCTATTATTGATCATTCATATTTTTAATAATATTATTATTATTATTATTATTATTATTATTATTATTATTATTATTATTATTATTATTATTATTATTATTATATTGATATTATTGCTATTGTCGCCATTATTATTATTATTATTATTATTATTATTATTATTATTATTATTGTCAGTTTTTCCATTATTATTATTATTATTATTATCATTATTATTATTATTATTATTATTATTATTATTATTATTATTATTATTATTATTATTATTAATATTATTATTATTATTATTATTATTATTATTATTATTAATATTATTATTATTAGTTTTATTATTATTATTGTGAATTATTATTGCTATTATTAGTTGATATTATTATTATTATTATCATTGCGATTGTCAACTATTACGATTATGGTTCCAGTGAGTTTAGATCGTCGGTCGGGTTAATTTACACCCCCCACAATCCCCCTATTAAATTATTAACAAAGATGTTTTTTGAAGGTTTAAGAAAATGCCAAAGTTGTTTAGGTTTATCGTCGCTAATATCGTCGCGATCGAGGTGTCAATCAAGGACAGATTTTATATATATATATAAAACGATAAGAGAGATTCAAAGAGAGAGAGAAATTAAATAGTAAAGGATTAATAGAGAAAAAAAAAGAAAAAGGAAAAAAAAGGAAAAATCAGGATCGGCACCTCGTTGGCCTCGCAAAAGCATTATTAGCGCGTATTGTTCGTTGATCGTATTTATTATCGATCGTGGCTCGATTTGGAAATCGCATTTGTACGGCCTTCGCAGGATCGATAGAAACGAATTGATCCAACGAGGATCGACGAGCGTATCCATCATTGGGCAACCTCACGATCTCTCTTGCGTTTTCTCTGTTCGTTTGTTCTCGCAATTTACCCAAGACTGAGGTTTTCGCGGGTAAAAAGATCGATCGGACTTCTAACCCTCTACCATCTCCCAAATCATCCTCCTCCTTGTTACTTATCCCAGATTTTCCCAAAACCCAAAATCCAATCCACACTTAATTATTCCCGATCCCAATCATCCCACCTCTCCCATCTCTCCCACTCTCTTCTCTCTCTCTCTCTCTCTCTCTCTCTCTCTCTCTCTCTCTCTTGATCCATACACATCCTCCTTCCACGTAACTCTTTTTATTTTTTGCCTTACAATATTTAGGAGGGATAATGTTGTTTCGTTTTTTTTTCGAACCTCCCCTAACTCCCTCTAACATCCCTCCTCCCTCCCTCTCTCCCAAGTTTGTTTCCACGACCTCGTTGTAAAGCGTTTTTCGAAGAGAACTGTTCCTAATGAATGATAATTAAGGAGAAAAGAAAAAAAAAAGAAAAAAAGAAAAAAGAAATAAAATAAAGTAAAATAAAGTAAAATAAAATAAAATTAAATAAAATAAATGATTAATTAATAAATAAATAAATAAATAAATAAAAGAATGAATAAATAAATAAATGAATGAACACACGTAGGCAATAAGTTCATTGACTCTGGAGAAAGGGACGGAAAGAAAGAAGACAAAAAAGAAGAGAAAGAGTAAGAAGGAAAGAGAGAGAGAGAGAGAGTGTGAGAGAGAAAGAGAGAGAGAGATATATATGTATATATAAATACATAAGTGCATATGAGAGTGAGTATATGTGAGTTTATCGATTATATACATTTTTCTGTGTGTTCGTCCGTGTGCGTGAGTTGATCTGTGTGTGTGTGTGTGTGTGTATGTATGTATGTATGTGTGTGTGTATATGTGTTACCTTGCGAGGAAGATAAAAAAGAATTTATGATTGACGATGGTACGTGAGCGTTACCACCGATCGAACGGGTGAATACATGTGTGTGTGTGTGTGTCCGTGTTTGTGTGTCTGTATATGTTAAAAAGGGGAAAAAAAATGTTTGTCTGTGTATCTCAGTGTGCGTGTTTGTGTGTCTGAATCGGCGGAATAATAATAATAATAATAATATAATAATAATATAATAATAATAATAATAATAATAATAATAATAATAATAATAATAATAATAATAATAATAATATTAGTAATAATATTAATATTAATAATAATGAAGATGATGATGATGATAATGATGATAATGATGATGATGATGATGATAAAAAAAAAAAGGAAACTCATATCAGATAGTTCTCTCGGTGTTAGTCGTGTACGATTCTAGATAAAAATCTCGTTATCTAGTTAAAAGTTTGTTAGATTGATTCTGAAATACGTACATGCCAGCAGACTTCGGTTTATACGATATTGTAAATAATGGCACTGCCCGTAGTGAAGGTCCGAAGAAAGAAAGAGAGAAAAAGAGAGAAAGAGAGAGAGAGAGAGTGAGAGTGAGAGAGAGAGAATGATAGAATGAGAGAGAGAGAGAGAGAGAGAGAGAAAACGAGCGTTAAGGTTGCAAGACTAAATCACTGTCGGAAGATTAATCGAGAAAGTAAGAAAGAAACAAAAAGGAATAAAGAAAGTAAGAAAGAAAAAAAAGATAACAGAATGAAAAATAATTGCATCGGTTTATCTCATGTAATGGCGATGATGACTATCCTCACTCTCAGCGTAGAATGCAATACGAGTACAATTTACCAACGAACGAAACGAATGAAAGAACGAGCGAGCACGCGTTTCGCTTTGGAACAATAAGAAAACGAATTAAAGGGTGGAAAGAAAGAAGGAAAGCAAAAAGGAAGATGACCAAATAGGAAAAAGAAAAATCGAAAGAATAATAAAAGAAGTCGATGGTATGATGAAGAAGTAAACAAACAAACAAACAAACAAACAAACAAACAAACTGCATACATATATATATATATATGCATGAACCAATGAAAAAGAGGAACAGATGATAAAAAAAAAGAAAAAAAAAAAGAAAAAAGAGAAAAAAGAAATGATAGAGAACGTAATAAAATTTAAAAAAAAAAAAAAAGAAAAAAAAAGGAAAATCTGAATTGTTTTTCTTTCTTACGATAGATTGACATCTAACGTGGAATCGTTTGATAAACTACGTTTGTTATATCGGCGTCTGATTAATATTTCATTCGATTGACGATTAAATATTGATGGATTATTATTATTATTATAATAAATATATTGTATTATATAAAATGGTCTATTAATGGGAACAGATTCATTCTCGAATAATTTTTGATACATATCGATACGATTAATGTAATTATTTTATCGTTCATTGGATTAATGATTAAAATCATTGTTATGGTCCCGATCGTCAGAAAGTCACTATATACATACATACTTACATATATATATATATATGTATATACATATATTTGTTATTTCTTAATTTAATATCGGGAATGGCTATTAATTAAAACGATAAGCGAAGTTGAAAATCATTTTGATATTATCAATACGATAATGCATCTCTCACTGTATTTATTTATGAGATGAAACGATTCAATGATTCACAACATGTCCATAAATATAATTCAAACGTTTTATTCGTGGATACTCATTGTAAAATTATTATTATTCGTCATTGTCCAAATGACTACTTCATAGAAATACAATTTCATTATAATATTATCATTTTGATTTATTTTTAATTGTATTTTAATCAAATATGAAAACGACGAAAGGAACGTACAATTATCAATCATTGTTCCAATCAAACAAGTAAACCGTAATGATCTAATCGTATCGTATGATTATCATTGCCGTAAGTGAAGAAAAAAAAAACAAAAAAAAAAAGATACAGA